TTTGGTTCTTAAATAGTTTGGTTAAAAATGAAAACAAAATGTTTTCATTTTCTTTTTATTTCTACTCCCTTGTCTCTTCCTCTCATCATTTCCAGAACATCCATGTGTGCTTGGGCAGCCTGTTTGTGCCTGAGGCTTACATTACCGCCACCCGCCAGTATGTGGCACAGGCAAACAGCTGGTCCCTGGAAGAGCTGTGTCTCGAGGTTAACGTCACCACTGCTCAGGGCGCCTCACTGGATGCCTGCAGCTTCGGCATCAAAGGTTAGACTTGACACATATCATCTGATCTAGTTGGCGGCAAAAGCACTGCACAAATCAGATAACAATGCGGCCTTTAGACTGAACAGACAGCGTTGTAATTAAATCATATCCATATGAATTTAACATGTTTTTTTGTTTGTTTGTTTAATCTGGACTGAAATCTAACCTAAGAAAGTGTTCGCAGGACTCTAAAACATGCTACTAACTGTATTTGTGGTCTAATGTAGTGAGTTGTTAAGACATGAATTTCTTTTTCTCATTCCAATCTTGCTGCACCCTCAGGTCTGAAGCTTCAGGGAGCTACTTGTGCCAACAACAAGCTGTCTCTGTCCACCTCCATCTCCACTGAGCTGCCTCTCACTCAGCTCCGCTGGATCAAGCAGAGTAATGCTGAGAAGAGACACATGGTAAACACCCCCCCCCCCCCCAAAAAAAAACCCCCAGCCCCATTGGAATCTAAAAAGCTAGATTTTGAAATATAGCTATGGAGTTGTCCTTCTCACCTTTTGTGTTTTCCTTTCGCTGCAGGTCACTCTACCCGTGTACCTGAACTTCACCCGGTCTGACCTAATCTTCACCGTCGACTTCGACATCGCCACCAAGGAAGATCCTCACAGCTTCTACGAGCGTGGAGTTGCCATCCTGTGCACAGAGTAATTGAAACGAGACATTTCCTCACTTTAAGTCTTGATTATAATCAAACCACATTTAATCACTTACATTCATTACCCCCATAATAGTAGTTGTAGTAGAGATGTTTGTGGAACTGCAGTGAACATGTAACAGTTCTTAGTGTTCTTAGAAAGTGTTTTGGAAGGTTGAGACGTTGTCTGATGGTTAATGAAAAGAAAATGAAATTTGGAAAGGAAAGTTGGAAAAAAGATGTTTTAATGGAAGAACCAGCACGTTGTTGTATTTAGATGGAATAAAGCTCATTGGAATGAACTGCTTGGTCTTTGTTTTAATTAATGTCGTGCATAGTTGTTGCTATGGAGCTCTTTTCTTCTTAGGAGCCTGTTCAGACTGGGAAGTATTCTAAAGGAAATGTTTAAGTGAATCACACACACATGCCAAAGGAAACATCAGTGACATAATGTTCTTTCTTGTGAAGCTGCTATGGATTGTCCCAAATGCAATATCAGCATTGTAACTTTAGACAGTTTTTTTCCTGAATGATTTTTTTTTTCCAAATTATATAAAGACATCTGGACTGAACATGAGACAAAAGCAAAGTTCAGCAAGAAATCTCAAATGTAAACTTGATTTTTGCCCTCTGTCACAGTCCTCCTTTTAGTTACTTTTTTTTTTAATGAAATGTAATGAAACCTTCACTGAGCTGCCAGGCACAACTATATAATTATCCATTACTGCCACCTGCTGGTTGGAGGGGTAAGTATATTACCAAAGTTTCATGACAATATGCATAAAATATCTGTTACAGCAATAACTGTTTGGCAAAACCATTTTTATACACTCACTCTCTGTTAGAGGGTCAAAAGTAGAAGACAATAGACTGACAAGGCCAGGTGAGCCTAGTTTCCCTGTTACTCAAACCTAAGGCGTCAAAACATAACCATCTGGTTAAAAGGAAGGAATGCACAGACCAGCACAACACCAAAAGGCCATGTTTTGCTAAAACCCTTTAAGTAAAGCTAAAGGTTTGCACTTAAAATCACATTAACTGTTTGAGGTAACATTACATTGTTCAAATGCTTACTGACCTAACTGCAGACACTCATTGAACCTCCATGAACCACTGGAGACTTAAATATTTCACTTTATTCATTCATTTGGATTTGAGCAGCTCATTTGAACAAAAATTAGGTTTTGATGAGTCACCTGTGACTAAATTTTAAGCAAGTGGTAACCAAATGCCACCTTAACGATCAGGAGGTGCTCAAAGTTAACTATTCATGAATAAACAGAGTGCAATTCCAAATAACTATTTACAGTATTTCAGTCCACCTTAAATCTCAACTGTTAAAGAACTCTAACATGGTTCAGATGCAGAATTGTTTCCTTCTTGTTCATCGTCCATGTTGAAGACACACTGCTTCTTCCTGTGTCCCAACTCAATCATGTCTGTTCCAGGGAGACTCAGCTTTCTCTTGTACAGAGATCCAAGGTTACACAAGCAGGGAGATCTCTCAGAGGAGCAACCCAGCATGTGAGATGAACTCCCCTCCACTGAGCTTTGAGGTTTAGGTGGGTGAAGTGTGGAGGATCTTGTAATACGCAAGCCTGAATCATCAAGCTGCAATTCCATATCAGAGATTTGTCTGTGTGTTACTGAATCAGTTACCCTTTCTTCTGGAAGATTTTTACAAGCATCCCTGTCACTGTTAGAGGGAAGAGTGTCCAGTTCGCAGACCAACCGGTCAGAGTCACTTCCACATTTCATCTGGACATCCAGAAGATTCGGCTGTTCTCTCAGACAGTCTCTCTTGTCATTTTTTGTCCCTTCTCTGAGGGCAACAGAAGCAGAGTGATTACAGATACATCGCCTGCTTCGGCCCGAGAGTCGACATCCTCCTTTTCCACCACCTTTTGCCTGCTGCCTCGATTGCCTGCTGGAGACATTGACATTTGACTCGTCAGAATCCTCAGAGCTCCCATCGTACGGGTCCAAATCCTACAATCATAACAAGCGCACACATTTTAATTCATGATCAGCAATGTGCATTTTCAACACAAATGGATGAATGAGAGGAGAGTGCATACCAAAGAATAACAGCCATGCCTTTCTGCAGGCTTAAGCGTTAATGGCAACGCCCTCCTTGAGGCACCACTCTCTGGTGCACTGCTCACACATCCCTAAACACAACCACCAGAGGTTCAACATCAATAAGTTGGCAGTTATTTTTACAAAGATCGGTGCATGTCTGGCTTTATATGTTAAATGATCACTGAAACTGTTTTTCCCCTACTATTTGAAAAATGCTTAAACTATACTATATACTTCCAAATTTGCTTATTATGTCAGTGTGCATGTATTGCCCAATTGATGAATTCAAGCAGTACCATGGTACTGGTGTCGGACCATCTTGGACTGATTTCAGAGTCAGAATCTGTGCTGGACTCCATGTTGCACATCTCCTAACAAAAAACAAAGGTCATACTAGTCCAACAGTATGCAAGTGGTCTAAGAAGAATGCAGAGCACCTGCAGATGGGCATTGGGTAAGTATTCTTACCATGTAATTTAAAGTAAGCTGGTCCATACTGCTGGGTGCTTGTCTATCAGTGCTGTCTGAATGTAGAAAACTATATGTAGGTTACATTGCAATAATGATTAAATCAAAAGACAGCCAATAACATATACAGGTGATTTATTTATTTTATTTTTTTGGAAAAGATTGTGCACATGTTACGTTGACACCACAAATGAAAATGAATTAACTAGGAAAATACCACGTCTAAGGAGAAAAAACAATTAAATAGTAATCACTGATACCTGGAAGTGGACGTTGTGTTCTTCTTCTTCTGTGTGCCATGACATTTGGCGCGTGAAACAAATTTTCTTTGGAAATAACGCAAATAAGTCGAGATAAGATGGTCAGGAATGCTGGCAGCTTAATTAAAGAGCAGGTGCCTTGAATAAACAGCCAAGTGTGGCCACAGTCAGGTGAGCAGTCTACACAACTGCACTGTCACAAGTTTTAAACACCACAGACTTGGCTAATTTCAAGATTGTGACAAAATAATACGTCCGGTTGTTGCTTTTTCAAAATAAAACGTGTACCGGTCCTGCGTTTTTTTAAGTTTTAAAGCTTATTCTAACTAAAATGTAAACATATATTTTTTTTGTATGAAATATATATTGTAAACTGTACTTTAAGAAAACAAAAACAGCAACTTGATCATAAGCTTAAACGTGTGGTTGATCGAGTAGTAACTTACTATATATTTATATATAAACAGTGCAAATATCTAAAACTTGTATTTTTTTATTTTTCAAAATGTATTTTTTTATTTTTTTATTTTTTTTTAATACAATCAAGCCTAGTTTATGGGAGCTTGTTTCCGTCTCTGAAAAAAAACGAAAAACAACAAAAATAAATAAATAACATAAATAAACCTCCTTCCATCAGGAAGGAGGTTCTGCAGCATCCGGTCCCGTACCAGCAGACTGAGAGACAGCTTTTTCCATCAGGCCATCAGACTGCTGAACACGTCATAGACACCTCACCTTAACTACTGGAACTTCAACATTATGTATTACTGTACAGTAATGCCACTGTTTTGAACATGTCTCAACTCTGTATATTTTTATATATTTTATTTATTGTTTACTCTATTTAATTTGTAAAATATGTGTACACACACACACACACACACACACACACACACGTAGAAAAATATTTAGTATACACATCCAGAAATGCATATACTATTATATATTGTACATATATTTATTAGTTTCAGATGTAGCCAGTCTTGTATTTTGCTTGTTTACATTATTGTATTTTGCACAACTCTGTTCTCACATGTACTGTACCAATGTACCTGCACATGTGATGTGACAATAAAAGTGATTTGATTTGATTTTGATTTGATAAATAAACTTATTCCTGAGTAATTGAAATTTCGAGATATGTAAATGTTCACTCACGGGCGAAAATTAAAATCAAAATTCAAATCTGTGGCTGAATCAAACTTCTGTGTTAAGTTGATAATGCAAGGTCTTAGATAAAGCTGTCACAACTTGTTGAAACCAGTCGCATCCCTTCCACCAGTTCCACCGTGAGCCGTTGGGGGGAACGGGAGAGTCGGAACGGCCGCTCACATCCGTGCGTAAGATCCGGCCTGGGGGAAAGGGATGAATGTTAATTTCAAAGATGGCGGCGGAGGGAGGAGGGAAGGAGATGAACGAAATTAAAACTCAGTTCACCACTCGGGAAGGCGTCTACAAACTTCTCACTCACTCCGAATACAGCCGTCCTAATAGGGTGCCTTTCAATTCACAAGGCTCCAACCCCGTCAAGGTCTCTTTCGTGAACGTCAACGACCAGTCAGGCAACGGCGACAGGATCTGTTTCAATGTGGGCCGTGAGCTCTACTTCTACATCTACAAAGGCGTTAGAAAGGTAGCATGCTAATGTGGCTTATGCCTGAGGAAATTCGCTATGCTGCAAGTTAAAATGCCACACTGCTGTGTGAGGTGTTGCAGGAGTTTAGGCGTGTCAAGTCACTCTGACAGGTGCTTGACTTTGAAATTAGCTCAAAGCTAGCTACTTAGCTCAAAGCTAGCCTATTAGTTAGCTAGCCAGCGTAACTGGCTAACGTTAGCAAGCCAGTAGCTACCCCGAGGCCAGGGGCTAAAACTCCCGTGTCCTGTCCGTCACTCTCTTTACACTTGATGGCGGGTTTTTGTAGTTTTGCAAATATCATGTTGGTGAAGTTGACCTACTGTAACGGTTCAAGTTGACAGAGCTTAAATGGCGTTTATAACGGGCTTGGTTTGTAATAAAACTGTCCGTGTCAACATTGACAGATTTACGTTGCCACCCTTGACACCTGTAGAAGACCTTTTGACTGACAGATATCGACAATCACGGTGATGCGGATTCATGTGGCTAACTGCTGCCGTAATGGCACTCTGATTTTGGCTTAAGAATTCTTCTTGAGAGCCTGAGCTAATCAAACTGAGCTGATTTGGTATATTTTTGGTATTTAATAACAATCAATGGGCACATAGTGTTATTGTGATCTGCTACCCCATAGTTGAGCATAATGTGGAAATCACATAGCAATTAATATGAATACAGGTCTTCGCTGTCATTCAGTATCAAAATTAACTGTCCACGTTACTGTTGATAAAAATATGTTGTCGCACCTTAATGTGGTTATTAACGGATACCTGATTTGACATCACAGATTGAATGAGCTCTTTGTTCAATTGAACCTGCGTATAAAAGCATTTTCCATATTTACACACAAACATGTCATGTGTAGCCATTTTTTTTTCAGAGGGAAATAGTTGTATCCTGGTTGAAGGTCTGCCATATATTTGAGCTGTTTGAAGCAATTGGGAAAAGGAAAAAACTCGTGTGACCTCAGGGTTTTTAATATGTGCAAGTTAACATAGTTAGAAAATGTTAAATGCCAGGTTACTACACAGTTGGCAATTACTTCAAGTCATATATTTTGGAAGGCTTGGTAAGTAAGAAATGTATTCTGATATATTGTAGCAGACATACTTTTTGAAAACAAAAAACACAAACTAGAAATGTACAGTAGCTAGAGTTGTACAGTAGCCATCACTGTTGGCACATACTGGTTTTTGGAAAACATCTGCATGTCAGCCCTCAAGCCAATGTGTAATACAGCAGGTATGTTTAGTTGTATTGTAACATGATGAAGTTTTCTTTCAGCCTTTGTTTCTGCCATTGTGAGGCAGAAGTCTTGTGATTTTGTACTTTTTAGTGGACTCTTGATCAAGACCTCCATTGACACGTTTGCTCTTTGAGGCAAGACAAAAACAGTCGCATATCATGGAAATGGAGGAACCCCTGAGTCATCACCTTACCCTGAAAAGAATTTTCCGTTCTACCAGTTGTTCAAACTGTTAATCATTAACAAATTTAACTGTTGTGTTATATTAACTGTCTGCAATGTATTTACTGCAGCTTCTTCACAGTAGTATAATACTGTTTCCTTAAAATGGCTAAAACAACTGCTTTTTGATCAGTTTCTCTATAGAGAAAAGGCATGCCCTTGCTCTTCATGCTCTTCTGTGTGTTTTTCAATGTTTAGTATTTTGCTTCCAGTCACTTGTCTTATACGTGGTTCAAGATGCTTGATTTAAAACGCACTGCCTCAGTCTTAAAGGTTTGATAGTTTGATATAAAACACGGCACTCTCAGCTGCTATGGTTTATTACTGGTAGTGTGACTAAGTATAGACTTTGCCATGCAGTAGAGTAGTTGGGCATTTTAGATATTTGAAGGTTGCTGCAATCTGTATGCATTCATTCCCCCCTTGCAATCTCGGTCTCTGTTTTCAGGCCGCTGACTTGAGCAAGCCCATAGACAAGCGCATTTACAAGGGAACGCAGCCCACGTGTCATGACTTCAACCACCTCACAGCTACAGCAGAGAGCGTGTCCTTGCTGGTGGGTTTCTCAGCAGGACAGGTACAGCTCATTGACCCTATCAAGAAGGAGACAAGCAAGCTCTTCAATGAGGAGGTAAGTCTAAAGGACACAGGTTGGAATAACATCTATGTACTATTTTTGTAGTACTGTTTAAGGTTGCACCTTACCGTCACCGTACATATATTTTTTTTTTTAGGAACCAGGAAGTGACAATATGGTGCTTGCATGTCATCCAATCCCACAGAATTGATTATCTTCTACTCCACAATTAATTTACAACTGATAAGATTTTTTGTGTGATGAATGCATTGATATTCTTATGTATTTAATGCATCTTAATGAAAAAAAAGTCAAGTAAAAATTACTAATAACATTACCAAATGGCCCAAAGCTTGTTGTATTAAAAACTTAAAGCTTGTTGAGCATACCAACGTCAATTTTACTGTATTAAAATTATTATTTTTTGTCTTCCCCTTCTCTTCTGCTCTCTCCTGCCTCTCAAACCTCAACCTATTTTATCTCCTGACAGAGATTAATAGACAAGTCCAGAGTAACATGTGTGAAATGGGTGCCAGGCTCAGAGAGTCTGTTTCTAGTGTCTCATGCCAGTGGGAATATGTACCTGTACAATGTGGAGCATACCTGCGGCACCACAGCGCCACACTACCAGCTACTCAAACAGGGAGAGAATTACTCTGTGCACACTTGCAAGAGTAAATCCACGAGGAACCCTCTCCTTAAATGGACTGTAGGAGAGGGAGCTCTGAATGAGTTTGCCTTCTCTCCAGATGGGAAGTTCCTCGCCTGTGTAAGCCAAGACGGCTTCCTACGGGTGTTCAACTTTGATGCTGTTGAGCTTCACGGCACCATGAAGAGCTATTTTGGTGGTTTGTTGTGCGTGTGCTGGAGCCCTGATGGAAAATATATAGTTGCGGGTGGAGAGGACGATCTAGTGACTGTGTGGTCGTTCTTGGACTGCAGGGTCATTGCTCGAGGTCACGGCCACAAGTCGTGGGTGAGTGTGGTGGCTTTTGACCATTACACCACAAGTGTGGAGGAGAGCGACCCGATGGAGTTCAGTGGCAGCGATGAGGACTTCCAGGATCAGATGATCCACTTTGGACGAGACCGGGCCAACAGTACACAGTCTCGACTTTCTAAGCGTAACTCCACAGACAGCCGGCCTGTTAGTGTTACATACCGGTTTGGCTCAGTGGGGCAGGACACTCAGCTGTGCCTATGGGACCTCACTGAGGACATCCTTTTCCCGCATCTTCCCCTCTCACGGACACGGACACATACTAATGTGATGAATGCTACCAGCCCTCCTGCAGGTGCTACAATAATCACTAACACCTCTAGTAACACTACTAATGGAAACAACAGTGGTGCCAATACTCCTGGCATTAACTCCATCGCTACTACTTTACCACGTTCCAACAGCCTTCCCCATTCTGCTGGCACCACAACAACGGCGGCAAACAATACCAACAAAGCCAGCAGTGGCGGTGGAATCAGTAGTGGTATTATGGACAGCGCCATCGCTACAGGTGTGAGTAAGTTTGCTACACTGTCACTCCATGATCGGAAGGAGCGCCACCACGAGAAGGACCACAAACGCAACCACAGCATGGGTCACATCAGCAGCAAGAGTAGCGACAAGCTCAACCTGCTGACAAAAACCAAAACAGACCCTGCCAAGACTCTGGGCACTCTGCTGTGCCCGCGCATGGAGGACGTGCCCCTCCTCGAGCCCCTCATCTGTAAAAAAATAGCACACGAGAGACTGACTGTACTCATATTTTTAGAGGACTGTTTAGTGACTGCTTGTCAGGAGGGATTTATTTGCACATGGGCGAGGCCAGGCAAAGTGGTAAGTTCTTTTTAATGTAGGAAATGGGAGGAAATTTGAAATGATGGCGCTTATGAGTCGATAAAGCAGTTAAGAAACTAAACTTATTTTGAACGCATACGTTAAACTGTGGATATTTGGAATACGATTTATAGCTTTTATAGTCAAATTGCCACTGAAGTAATAAACATAAGTTATAAGACTTGGTTTAATGTACACCTGCTTTCCAATGCCCAAGTTTCAGTGGGAGAAAAAAAACATCCTATGCTATGACAATACAGTTTGTGGTTATATAATCCAATAAGATAGAATTTTCTGTGGACCTGTCAGGTGAAGGAAGACATAAGATGTATTCATTGGTTCGCCATAATTGATCTCGCAATGCATAGCCAACAAGTCATTTGCATATGTGGTCACATTCAGAGGGTTATGGTTGGGTTCTTGTCATCAGATCCATTTCCCGTTCAACAAGATGGTCAAATTTCATCAAGCTCAGACACTCTCAAATCTCGTGCACACTTGTTTTTGCTTTTTTTGTTTTTATCTCTTAGAGTTTTTATTTCCCATTAGCAAAGCAATGATCAAATCATGCAGGTGATATAAGCAGCTTCTCAGTTATAGCTAGTGCTGACTGTTGATTTCTCCAGTTAAAATGACTTGCCATTAGTGACACTTACTTTGTTAATTCTGTAAAGGCTCCATTTAAGCTGTCTCTTGGTTAATGTGCTTTCTTCAGTCCACTGACTTTTTTGTGATGAAGACATTATCACTCTGCAACCACTATTTATGTTGATTTTTGTTGCCCAGAAGACAATTATCTATCAAATTAACATTTTGAGCAAGTGAATTTTGTGGTGTCGGTATGTTTGAGCTGTGATATCGGTTATCAACATTAGATCTTATTTTCAGGTTTGAGATGCAGGTTGTGAACAGGTTGGCTTAATCATTGTTAGTCTTCATTAAAGCTGCGACCAGTTTAGGCCAGCTGATCGGAGACCTAAACTGAAACTGTTTGGATTTGATAAACTGCTATTGAATCCCAACCCTGCTCATATTTCACCCTTTATGCTAATAGCTCTGTATTTGCCCAGGCTCTCTGCATTTCCCCACACGCTTATAGCAAAATATGTTTGTGCACACTTGCATATCCAGAATTGCACATATAGTCTGGAATATGCAGCATAACTAAAAGTCTACTTTGTATTGAAAAGACATATGGTTAAAAAATGCTTTAATGCTGAGGCTGTGGAAAAGTTATTTTTTTAATACAAAACCCACGGCTACAGAGAAGTGTGCTGTGTTAAGGATCCAGGTGCATTGTAATAACATGTCAAATGTTCATAAAGGTCCCATCAGGAGGGTCATAAAGCTAGTTATAAAGTGAAGTGCCTTGATCGCGGATGTTATTACACCAAGCATTTATTTAAACCGCTGTGCACAGGCTCTTCATTTCTTGCATCGGTTGGAATATGGAAAGATGGGACGCATTTTCTAATGAGCTGTTTGTTGTTTGATTTTTTTTTTCCTTTCTTTGCTTCAGTATGTGGACTTTCCCAATGCAAATCTCCTTGTTTTCCTTTTTTCAGGGTTTATTGTCATCCCAAAACCAAGCCAGCTCTCCCAGTGGAACAGTAGTATAGCCACAATATTTCTGCTGCTAAAGAACCCTGCAACCCAGAGTCTGATGCTGCTCTTCACCCTGCAAGCATTGCAAGTTTTCCTTTTCTTTTCTACCCCTCCCTCTCCCAGTTTTGTTAATGGCTTTTCTGTTGTTTTTTGTTTTATCACTCACTCGACCTAGAGAAGGAATGGAACAGGAAAAGGTGTGGTGCAATTGTGGACTATTGTGCTTTTGTTCTCGAGTTTTAATACATTTTAGAATTCTTTTTTAAAATCTTTTTTTGTTTGTTTGTGCGTGTGTGTTTGCGTGCGTGTGCGCGCGTGTCAAATCTCATTAGGCTTTTCTGGAATTAATGCTTGGCTTTGTTAGATGCAAACCAGACAACTGTGGCTTGAGACTAAAGGGATAGTTCATTTAATTTTCATAATCATCTTTTTTATTTTAATGTTGTCATTTAACCCAACTCAGGGTTACTGACTAAAATATGAACTTTAGAAGAACTATCCTTTTATGACCAAGTGCGTAAGCATCTGAAATTTTTGCATCCATCCACATTCACCCACCACTTCTCTTTTCTTGAATAGAATCTCCCCGTTGATGACTTTGCACTGATTTTTGTTAGCTACTTTGTCGTTTTTTTGTTTTATAACTTCTCTAATGAAACAAAAAAAGAGAGTTGAGGATTGCCTGGTTCCACTTGGCTTTACCATCCTCAGTCTTGAATTCTGAATCTATATAGCTGGATGCTGCAATCATAGTCTTTTTAAAGAAAAAAAAAAAAGGTTTGCACTTAAATTAGTTTATAGAAGAATATGGCTTTACATTTTTTGGGTGTGCTCAGAACTCACAGATGGCTAACAGTAGGTCAAGAAAATGATAAAAAAATACAATTAAAACCTTTATCTATTGAGCATTTATTTTAATATTATTTCAGATTTAAATCTGCTCTGTATCATAATGTGTATATTGTAATTAATTGATTTGATGGGGGCCTAAGCAAACTACCATTACTCCAGTGGAAGTTTTGTCATTGATAGTTATATTTCTAAAGTATACATATTAATAATATTAAAATAATCTTGAATACACTGTTTGCCGTTTTCATTCATTCCTGCACTCA